AGAGAGAGAGAGAGAGAGAGAGAGAGAGAGAGAGAGAGAGAGAGAGAGAGAGAGAGAGACACAGGTTATCAGCGAGTGTTGCTGTGCGCCACGGCGTAGCCGTGGCTGGGTCCACTTGTAACTCTTAATGAGGCTACAAGAAAAGTCAAAGAGAAGAGGATGAATACAGCTATCCTGTTCTTCGATTTTGAGAAAGCCTACGACCAAGTCAATTGGACCTTTCTCAATGCGAGCTTGGAGAAAATGGGGGTGGGACCTGAATTCAGGAAATGGGTCAGGATCTCGTACAACGATGCTTCAGGATGTGTACAAGTGAATGGACTTATTTTCGAACGTTATCTGATCTCCCGGTCGGTCCGTCAAGGAGACCCTTTAGCCCCACCGACCTTCCTTTTTGTCATGGAAGCGATCGCCTCCTTCCTACGCAAAGACCCCTCAATCCTAAGGTTGTCATACATCAATACCGGTACCCCTCACCACATCCAATTCCCAACAGTGATAATGTTTGCAGACAACCTCACAGTTCTCATAAAGGTATCTGACTCCTCCATAAAAGCACTAGTCAGGGCAATGAAAGCTTTCAGGCTAGCATAAAAAATGAAGATCAATTGGAAAAAGACGATAGGCTGGTGGTTTTCAGAGGAGGAGATACCCCGAATGGAGGGATCTGAGGCAGAAATGGCATGGGAAAGACCTGAGGAACCAATGAGGTACTTGGGAATTATGGTAACCAAGGATGGCCCTGCCCCGCAAATGGCACAAAACCTATTGACCAATCAAATCAATAGAATGAGGAGATGAGGTACCACATTCACCTCATTGCTGGGAAGAGCCCTAGCCATCAATACCTCCATCTTTTCAATGATGTGGTATATTGCCTCTATCTGGACTATACCAGACCAAACTATCAAAGAGTTGAACAATACAGCCAGAGCATGCCTATGGTCAGGCGACCCAAACAAAACGAAGCACATCCCTAAGATAGCCTGGCACTACATAACGCGAAGGTCATCGAAGGGAGGTCTACGGAATAATCGACCCCAAACAGGAAACCAAAGCCCTCCAGATCAAGTGGATAGTCAAGCTACTGGCTTGGCACAAACTGGCCCTCGATAGCATCAGAGATATAGCCCCTGTCCAGAGCCCACTCAATATGGGTGGCCTATTCTGGGTAATCAACAAAGAATGGACACCCAAGACGAGCAGAAGGAGACGACCCGCAAACTCGTCACTTAACGAGGTGCAACCAGCTACCCCCTATTGGACAACTCTCATCCACATTTGGAGAGAAATTATGTCAAAAAAAAAGTCAAGAAACCTAAGTCCAAAGAGGAAGTCCTACGTCAACCCCTGTTCGGGAACCCATGTGTAAGGGATGCAGTGGGGCACCCACTGTCACTTACAAATGGGCATCGATGACTCTCTCGGATCAGACATGGGTCTGGCGTGTCAGTGTGGCATACTGCGTAGCCACACGGGCCGGCAGGGCCCGTCCCGCATTCTCAGCCTAAAAGCCTAGAAATAAGGGCTTACAGGCCCCGTGTCGTTTCAGGCTGAAAGACTGAAAATGAGGGCCTGCAGGCCCTATGTCGTTTCAGCCTAAAACAGGGCTTTTCAGCCTGAAACGGAGGGCCACTTTCGGGCCCTCATAAGATCAACCTGCCCTAACACT